TGTATGTGTGTGTGTGTGTGTGTTTTGTGTGTGATTTATTACATTTTAGTCATATGTGTGTTTGTGTACACGTGCTTTACATGACTAAACATGTTATAAATTGCATGCAACAGAAGGAGTGGAACAGCATCAGAAAAAAGAAAACATTTAGCATGAAAAAACAGAATAAACATAATTGTTTAAGAAAACCTTAGCGTTGTCTATTGGATAACAGACCTGAACGGGGGGTGGTGAGTTAGCTAGCTTACCTTTCCGATATAGGTGGGGGGAAAACGTAAACACAAAATACAAAATTGTTAGGACGCGCAGGCCGATGTATTATGAAAATGATCTGTTGTGACATTAAAATAACTTCACACAGTAAATTTTTTGATGTCAAAAACAATTGGTTCTAAAGTTTTATTTCCATGTGCCTTTGTGATTGGTCTACACTGCTTCAGACAATCCCATTGGATGTCTACAGTCGGGGGGTTGACCCGTCTACGAATGATCCAATGTGATTGGAAGTCTACAGTCAGCTTCCTTGAAGCTGATTGGCTGTTCCTGAGTCCGGATCGTGATCTGGATCATCACCAAAATTTAATGGTGTGTTCCTTTGGCCAATACCCACTTGTGGTGAAAATTTCATGAAAATCCGTCCATAGGTTTTCGAGTAATTTTGTCCACAGACGGAACGACAGACATACGCGACTGAAAACATTACCTCCTCCCTTGGCGAAGGTAATAAATAACTGCGTTAACGCGCGTTAAAAAACTAATTGCTGTTAAGCGTCGGCTGCGTTAACGCGATGATAACGCATTAATGTGCTAAGCACTAGAAAAATCTAAAGCATTTGTTTCTGTGCTTTCTTTTTTGGTCTTCGCATTTATCGTGTTTTGGAATAAAAAAAAATTAACGCAAATTTTCAAAAACTTCCTCTGAAGTTTGTTGACTTCAGTAGAACTCCGCTCTGACAGGCATCAGGACTGAAGGCTACGGGGCGTCCGCAGCAGAAAGATACAGAAACTGAGAGTGACATTCATTTGTAGCTGCTGTTTGGTAGCTGCGCTGGATACCAGATGGCCTCATGTGCTACTCAGCTTGCCTCTCCTCTCCTCCAGAGGGAGGGGGGGCTGGTCACCCAGAGGGCCGGGACCCTGGGTCACGGTTGTGTGTGCCCAGGGACCAGACTCCTCAGCTGGGGAAGCATATTAGACAAAGACCCCTCGCTTCCTGGAGGCTGCTGGGAACTCCAGGGGCCCCGTACGGCTCTCTTGCAGCCAAGGTTGGAGAGGACTATGATACGACTTGCGTTTCACACACACACACACACACACACACAAAATCACAAACACACAACCAACTGAGCAACCAGTCTTCAGGGCTTCCCAGGACCACTGTTTTGACAGCCAAGGAGAGAAGATCGTCATTGAACGGACCACTGATACCTGTGTAGTTATGAGCTAGGGGGAAGAAACTGGACACACACACAGACACACACAGTCTCAGAGCAAGGTCGATGTCATCACAATGGATTAATGTCTAAGGAGCTGCGGGGAGAGTACAGTGGGGCTGGCTACACTTACTGCTCTGTCAGAGCGAGGAAGAGAGCAAAGGAGACAGAGAAAAAGTGAACAGGAAGGGAGAATTAACTGCGTCCACAAGCCAGGGGTCATTCAGAGCCCACTCTTACAGTAGGCTACATAATGTGTTCATTAGAGTATCTGGAACACCTACACTACCTGGAATTCTTTGTTCCTGAGCAGGACGTTAAACAAAAACTGATTCTACAAGAAAAAAAAACACGTGCTTACAGAACAACAATGGTGTTTTCACCTGGCGCTGTCTTCTCCTTCCCTTTCCCCTCAACAGAACACTTCCCTCCTCTGCTTTCTGTCTTATTCACGTACAACTCGTCACTCGCGGGCGCCCATAAGGAACTTTCTCTCTTCTCCTCTTAGACGAACTTCCCTAAAAACTTAACYGACGGGCGTGACCAAAAAGAGGAAGTGAAGTGTGTGCAGGTAGGAAGTAAGACAAGGCTGGCGCTTGACGCCTCACGACAAGCTCACCTGTAAAACAGCTTTCGACTCTCTAACGAAGTGCTTTACAGAAGACAGTCAGGTGTGACGATAWATAAAAACTAATAAATGTATGGACGGGTCAAAAGACAAAAAGAAAGTAAATAAATAAGATAGAAAAAAGAAAACAAATGCAGGAAGAATAAAAATAATGAAGTGAAATGTAGTAATAAAAATGTTTTTTTGGAAGTTCAAGAATTAAGGAGAAGAAAACA